CTTTAATACTATCAATATTTTTTACCTAAAAATCTATTCCTATTAGATACGGAAAAATATTCATCTCTATTAGAGATAAATTTAGAGATGAATTTGTGTCTATTAAAGAATGATTGATTTTACGTCGTCTCTAAATCCGTTAATAAAGGAGACAGAAATATTTTTGTCTCTAATTCCCTCCCTATTTGCGAGGAATTGTTATTCATTCCATCACAGAATTCATTTTTATTAGAGATGATTTTTTTTCCGTCTCTAATCCATATTTTTTTTAATAGTGATTTTACCGGAATCCGTTTTTATTAGATATGGACTTACTTTTAAGAATAAATGCCATGTTAACGATTTTTTTATATGATATATCTAATGGGCTTAGAATTAATTAAAGATATGCCTCACTTCATCTATTTGACAAAGATCGATGTTAACATCTATCATGCGAAGCTGCCATCTAGCTTCCCCAATAATTATCACATTATATGTCTGCACTGTGCATAATGCTCCTCTGTCTGTTCCTGTCATTCACAAACACCCCCGTCATCCATAAACAAAGCGATCAAGCTCGTGCTGTGATATTAAAAGACAGCGCCATCAGAATGTGCTTGAAATTGAGCATACATCCGCTTTTGGACCCACGCACATATTTCATATCTAAGTAGCTCAATGAAGATTTAAATAAGAGAACATGGTAACGACAACGGCACTGGATGCATTGCATGATATATGTATGTCAATCGATTGATGCTGGCTTATCTCCAAAAAATAATAATGATTAATAAAAAATTAATAAAACATCTTAGGTGTTTGATGTTGTGCTTTAAAGTATGTCCCTAGGAGTTTTCGTGCGTGAGGTAATACAGAAAAAAGGTGTTAGGATGGTGAGGTTTGCTTGTTTAAAACAACGCCACATAGTAATGCCCAAAAGGCAAATTAAGGGCTGAGCCAATGCTGTGTGGAGTTTAGACTTTAAATGTTTAACCACCTAAAACAAAGGGGTGGCTATTGTTCTTTCTAACTTTCCGAAAGCAGTGCGGCACTTGCAACTCAGAACGTGAACTTCAAAAATGTTTAAAGCCGCATATCAAAAAAGTAGGAGGGAGGACAAAATAAATGTTTAACTGATACTACATGCATAAATTAAAGACACGTGCGTAGCCGACTTTGGCACGTGAGCGGAGGATATAAGGTTCTCGCAATGAGAAATGGGTCTCCAAGCTAAGTAAGGGTGAAGCGTACGTGCGAGTGAGGGGGGAGTGTGGGAATCACGTGATATTGCAAAAGACGACAGTTGGGGGAATAGCTCAGCAGAGAGAGAGAAGAAAGTTGGAAAAAATTTACAATACTTCCATTGTAAGTACAACACATCAATAGGAGAAGGACACATAACACATTAGTTGATATCTTTTTTTTGAAAGATATAAAAATAATTTTAATATTATACTTATATATTTTTTAAAATTTATAATTTATAATTTTATTTTGAATAAATCATCGTATCTAGTATTCACTGGGACGATAATACTGAAGATGTGCTAAGAAAGTTGAGCTGTCAGTTGTCCTTTCGGTTTGTAGTTGGAAAAAGAAAAGCAAAGTGTTTCGTTTCCCTCTCTTAATTGAGTGTTTGAGTAATGAGTAGCAAATTGGAGTCTTAAGATTGCACAAACTAGGCATAGCTAGTTCCTAGTTGCTGATTGCATTTCAGATAAGACAATTCCCACTTTCTCCCATTTCCGTATTCCAAAATCCTACTTGTTTTTCATGGAAACAAACAAACGTCAATTACTATTGGTGATTAAATATTTATAATTGAACCTTTCAATAGAATCAATCTTTTCTCTAATTATAAAACTTGGTCGATTAATGCTAACCATAAGTAACACCAAAGGATATTTGAAGGTTCCTATGTATTTATACTATATGTGTGTGAGAGAGATACAAGTAAGCTGAGCTATATTGTATTCTTGGGGAAGTCTACACTTATATTTAAGGTTGTTTGTACACGTCAATGACTTTAAATAATTGATAAGTATCCATGTTTGTTAGAAAATAAATATTCAAATCATGCAATTTTCTTCTTGCTGGTAATTACATATATATATTAATTTTTGGCTCGTCTCTTACGAATTTTCCACCATATTATTTTTAATTAAATCTATAAAATTTTCTTGTGAGCATCAAGTCGTATTGGTGATGTGGAGTATGATAGAATATATAGATATAAAGATAGGACCATATATAGGTTTTTTTTTTTAATTACTGATTGTTTGGTTGTAGTCTACATTTTCAAGACATATATCTATGTTTACTTAATTAACTACAACTTTAAGCTAAGAGAGATAGCCAGATACTGTAAGGATTACAAGAGCATGTATGAACGGGTTTCCCAGCTGTGTGGCAAATGGAAAATGGAGATGCGATTACCGACCATTGGCGCGTTTATCGAACATGGGCTTATACGAATTTTGGATGGCAACATCATATTTTATGTGTATTTTTAAAGTTAGTTACTTTTTTTTAAAAAATACTTACGAGGAAAATATTTCAAATTATTAAAAGATATATGCATATTTAATATTTTATTTCAGGTATAGTTTGAAAAAAAAGACTAAAAAAGGAAAATATATAAAATTAAATATTTTGCATAATTAATTAAAAATTAAAATTTAGAAATAAAAAAAATGAAAAAATAAATATGACATGCATAATCCTTTAAGAGATAATAATTAAAAAAGATTACGCAAATGTGAAGAAATTAAACTTTTATTTTGATATACAAGATAAATTATTGAAATAGTTATTAGTCATAACCTTGGGGAGTTTTTGTTATATAAAAAACAATGTAATTAAATAATTTGGCAAAAAGCATGTTTGTCGAGAGAGAGAGAGAGAGAGAGAGAGAGAGAGAGAGAGAGAGAGAGAGAGAGAGAGAGAGGAGGGCGGGATTAATCTTCTATTAAAAGAAAATAAATTAATTAAATACAAATTGCTTCTCTTGCTTGGCAAGAAAAGCCAAGTGTTTTTTTTATTTCTTATTGGGTCCGTTCATAGAATATGTAATTCTCGTGACTTTTTTATTATTCAAAAAAGTTTGAGACGTTTCTTTAATAAAATTGATGGAAGTGGTTAAGCTATTCTTTTTCTTCTTTTTGATTGGAAAGAGCTGCTAAAAACATCAAAAGGCGTGTATATTGATATTGCATATATATAGTGTTAAAGTCAAACTCTTGTACAAACTCTTGCGGAAAAGAATAAGAGAGCTAGCTATGTTACAATAAGTTCGATATAAAAGCAACATTATTGGAGCATATAACCGCATATGAATTCAAAATAAATAGTATTGAATACTGTTTTTTTTCCCATGACGGTAAAATATGTACATCTTTCTTTATTAGTTAATTAGTACATATTATCACAATTTATGATTTCAGGGAAAACTAAACCACCAAAAATGTTGCTGGTAAATTAATATTAGACGTGTTGCCTTTCCTCTCCCTACGAAAAGATTTTTTTCCAAAAAAAATAAAAATAAAAAATATTGAGAGATACCGAGAGTCCGAGACATATGCTGGCTTGTCCCAAACTGGCCGGTGTTTGATCCTTTATCACAAAAATGAAGATAAAAAGTTCAAGTTACTTAGCACTTAACGCATGCAACAGCTTTTTTGTGACACAGAAAAAATAAATACTACAAGGTTACTAAAGGCAGATCAAAATATATTTTTATTTTTTCATGACATTTATTTTATTTATTTATATATATTTCGTTAATTTAATTCATATATATATATATATATATATGTGTGTGATCATTCTCAATTCAATCTTCATGTTTATTATTGTTATAAGATAATGTATTACAATCATAATACAAGAAAATATAAATATTAGGTTAATATTGTATCTTTAGTTTTTATACGTGATAATTATTTTCAATATAATTTTTGCATTTCAAAATAACTTTATATAATTCTGACTATATTATAATGATAATAGATCAACCAATGTTAAAAGTAGTTAAATTAAAAATCTTTTTATGTAAAAATTAAATTAAAATAAACATAATATATATATTGGTAAAAATATATTTTAATTTTAAACGCAAGTAAAAGAAGGCGAAACATCAAAAACACCTGTAAAAATAAAAGGATACACCAAAAAGGGAAAATGAACATGGCCACGGTGATAGTGCCAAACCTTAAAGCGGTTAAGTGTGCTTTTCAGACCCTATTTCTCCCACACAATCCTAACTTGACTGTTTTGCCCATCCACTCGCACGTGCCATCCATCCCCTTCGTGTAGCATTCCTTATTTCTAAAATCTCTCCTTTTCCCTATCTTACTTCAATTGGGCTATTAATGAATCTGTAGCGTCTTAGATTACCAAAATGACCTTACCAACTAAGGGGGCTCCGCTCCATCGGCAATGATTGTCCAGGGCATTATGGTCATTTGAAATATCAAAAAAGATGGTGGTAGTTTGGGTCATTGAGATGACTTTGTACTCACCTTATCTTTTATTATATTCCGTAGTTTGCGTTGGTTTCCAAAGGACGTATGCAAATGACAATAAAAGCCAAATTTGTGATGACATTTTGGTCATTTCACAACCCCAAATATAAAACTAATCAATCCTTATTAAAATGATCCTCTTAACATATTCATAATTAAACATAGGAAGATTTTTTTCATATTGCATTCGTAAGCTTCTTTCATAAAAGGATAAAAAAAAAAATGATAGTATACAAACCCGGTTAAATTCATCGTAGTCATCATTTTGTCGAAAACGCTAGTTTGGATTCCCTTGCTTTGACCAGTAGTAACTCCAAAAGTTATTGTATTCGTAATTTTTGTTCCGTAGAAACGATAAGGTTATTATCGTCTTTCGAAGCCATGAATATATTATTTCTTTTGCGTACAATTCATATTAATGTTAAAAAACAGTGTCGAATTGAAGAATATAAAGATAAAAAAGTATATATAAAAGGACATTATTGGTGGGGAAAAAAACTAAAGGAAGAGGTGGAGACCGAAGGAGAGGAAGAACAGCGACCGCTTCCCTTTCCTCTCTCTTCTGTTTCTCACACTGTGTTTGTGTTTGTTTGAGACAAATACCCAAAGCCTTCATTTTTAATTTTATATTGTATGTAACTTGCACTTTCTTTTTCCAGAAGGTGATTGCAAAAAACACTTACCGCCAAGAGCAACAAAAGAAAAGGAGAGAAAGAGAAAGAAAGAGACGACAGGCGACAACAGAGAGAGAGTGTGGGAGAGGGAGAGGGAGAGAGAGAGAGAAGGAACTGTAGAAGCTTTCAAAACCACACAAAGGAAAACGATGTCTGAGAGCTTTACATCCTTTCATACTCTGCAACTCTAAGAGGTACATACATATGTATGTATATATACATACATGATGAGATTGAGAAGAAAGGAAGAGGGGCCTAGACCCTGTTTATTTATTCTCTCTTTTTCTTTCAATCAATCACTCTACATAATATATATCCTTAATTTCTCTTCTTTTTTTTGCTATATATTTCCTTAATTATTTCTACTCACTATATCATATAATTGACTTCAATTTCATGATAGGTTGGTGTTTGTTGGATTTTGCTTATCCTTATTACTGATCAATAATTCAACTATATTGGAGAGTGGTGATATAAAGTTGAAGGTGAAGAAAAAGGAGATGATGATTTTAATATGGGAATAGCAACACCGCCACCACTTCCATCCATATTTCTTTCACACAGCTCCAGTAAGCTTGATTCTTCCAATTCTATGTCCCAAGATTATCAACAAGGAATCTTCAGTTTCTCGAATGGGTTCGAGAGATCAGCGGTAACACCGCAGCAGCAGCAGATCCGAAGGGAGAAGGTGAGGTTGCAACAAGGGTTCGAGGGAGCACCACCATTAGTTGGGATAGAAGAAGAGGAAGGTGGAGAGCTTCCGGTTTATGAAACCGCAGGGATGTTGTCAGAGATGTTTAATTTCCCTCCGGCCGGCGCCACCGCCGCTGAATTGTTGGAACAGCAGTCTGTGTCGACGGCGACGTATCGGTCCCCGAGGCCACAAGGAGTGGCCAGCAGCAGCAGCGAGTGGTACGGAAACAGACAAGGGATGATAACAACTGGGTTGGGACCGTTGGGAGATTCAAAGAATCAGAACAGTGTGAATAGCCGTGACAGTAATTTGGTTCATCATCATCATCACCATCACAACCAGATTTCAAGCATTAATGCAGACTCAGCAGCTGCCATGCAGCTTTTTCTCATGAACCCTCCTCAAACAAGATCTCCTTCCCCTTCTCCTCCAACTTCTTCCACACTCCATATGTTACTTCCACACCCTTCTTCTAATTCTTTACAAGGTTTCACTGGTTCAGGACCACCAAGTGGTACTTTTGGCCAATTTACATGGGTTCATGACAGTGCTCATCCAGAAGGAGGAACCACTGGCCCTCCTCACCTTAACAACAACAACCAAGGTGAGATTGGTGGCGTTGTGGAAAGCCAAGGTCTTTCGTTATCATTGTCCTCTTCGTTGCAACACTTGGAAGCTGCAAAAGCTGAGGAATTGAGGATGGGGGATAGTGGTTTTATATATTACAATCAAGGAGGTGGAATTGGAGGTGGAGGTGGAGCCGGTCCATCTTCCTCAGCTCAGTTTCCGTACAAGAATAATAATCTTCAGGCATTGCATTTACAAGGTGGTGGTTCCATAGGAGGACACAATAATAACAACCAGGGTTTCGGGTCATCCTTAGGTATTGTAAATGTTCTGAGAAATTCAAAGTATGTGAAGGCTGCTCAAGAATTGCTCGAAGAGTTTTGCAGTGTTGGGAGGGGTCAGTTTAAGAAGAGCAAGTTCAATAGGCAGAATTCAAACCCTAATTCAAATCCCGGTGGCGGCGGCGCTTCTTCTTCTTCATCAAAAGATCCTCCTCCTCCTCCTCCTTTGTCAGCGGCTGATAGAATTGAGCATCAGAGAAGGAAGGTCAAACTTCTATCAATGCTTGACGAGGCATGTAATCTCTATTTCTGTTCTCTCTCTCTCTCACCCTCTCTCATCCATCAAGAGTCAAGGTCCCCCAATATCTTTTTCTTCTTATTTGTTTAGTCCATTAATAGTGCATTATTTTATTTTATAATTTTCTGATTAACAACAGGGACAATAAAACACACAGTTCTCCGGCCGGTATCTTGAATTATTATTTTTAAACTCAGAAAGGAAAAAAGCCGGCTGGTATAATAGGGTTCCATTGCATAGGATCAGTTGGTAGGGATTTCTTCCTTATTTTAATAAAAACCCATTTTTTTAATCATTCGATTTGATTGGTGGGACTGGGATGATTTTATATTATTTTTGGTTTCTTAGTTTGGTGAAAACCATGAGAGTAACCTTTAGGAAAATACGTCCATCAAGAAGCGACGTTCCTTCTGATTAGTAAGATAGACCCCAACCGAAGGAAAGAAAGGCACCCCCTCACCATATCTGCTACGTACCAATTTATCATCAATCCCAATTCCACCTTACAGGATCCATACCCATCATAGAAATATTGCAGTGAAAGCCATTGTTAATCATTATCTCAGTTGACCAGAAAGAGATCCGGAGGGGTCTTTTCTCTTCTTTTTTTTCCTTTTTACAAGTAAAATATTCAGTCTTATCTTATCTTTTTTAATTTTGTTTATGCACACAACACAAGCGATTGGTGAAGAGTGCATGTCATCCAAGAAACCCAACGATATTCTTCATTCTCAATAAAAATTACTTCAGCAAATCCCTAATGTTCCTTACTCATATATTTATAGACCACCATAGCTGGGTTCTTTTCTTTTTTTCATATGTAACATAGTCTCACTCACCAAATTCAAATATACTTGAATTTTAACATCTCTTTCTGCCCCGTCTACTCCATCCATTTAAAAATCATAAACTATATATATATATTTTGGTAATTTTTCATTATTTGTTTGGGTTAATGCTCATAAATCCAACTAAACTATCCATATTTATTTGACATATAAGTTGCTTTCCTTTATTAATGCTAAATTGGTTCGTCCAGCTTTTCACAAACCGCTTGCATTGATGGATGAGTAAATGATAACATGCATTTACTATATCTTATCTTTATTGGTTCTTTCAACATAGTATCGTGATAATTGATTATCCGATTATCATTCATATTCCCATACCAATTAATTGTCCAAATTTGACGGTGTGAATAAAGTTTATCCGGGTTTTGCAGGTGGACAGGAGATACAACCACTACTGCGAACAAATGCAAATGGTAGTGAACTCATTTGACCTGGTAATGGGTTTTGGTGCAGCAGTTCCATACACAGCACTTGCGCAGAAAGCAATGTCTCGGCATTTCCGGTGTCTGAAGGATGCGATATCAGCGCAGCTGAAGCACAGTTGTGAGCTTCTGGGAGAGAAAGATGGGGCAGGGTCTTCAGGTTTGACCAAGGGAGAGACCCCAAGGCTAAAGATGTTAGAGCAAAGCCTAAGACAACAAAGAGCCTTCCATCAAATGGGGATGATGGAACAAGAAGCTTGGAGACCCCAGAGAGGCTTGCCTGAACGATCTGTCAACATTTTAAGAGCTTGGCTTTTCGAGCATTTTCTCCACCCGTACGTTTCTCTGCCTCTCTCTCTCTCTCTTATTATTACTTAAACATAACATATGAATGACATTTACATACTCTTTTTTATTTTTATTTTTATATAACTGAAAATTGAATACATAATTTAATATAACTTATTCAAATTTTTTACTATTTGACCAATTCTAATCGCTTCTATTTTTTAATTTATCATTTTAAAAAATGTGGTATAAAATAAAAAAGAGTAAATAAAGTTGTTGAAATTGAAATATCATTTTCTAATATAACATATTTTACACCTGCGACTAACCAGGATCTTGGGATAATATATATATATCATTATGATTTTTAAGTTACTAGATTATATAAAAAGGATAGCACACAGCACGAAAGATACTGTAATCATTAACTAGACAAAAAAAAAAAAGCAGCAGGGTTAGAAAAAGAAAGAATGGGAGGAGGGGTGGCAGAAGGAAAGAGAGAATCTAAAAGGCCATTATTTATGTTCCGTATGCTTATGGTCGTTTAGATCAACAGTAATGCAGTAATATTGCAGCATCCTTGGATGTTGTCTCGACAGCAAAAAGGTTGAAAGATATATATATATATATATATATATATATATATATATATATATATATATATATATATCATCACTGCATTAACTACAATATCTTGGTATCTTTCTCTGATCTACTTTCAATATCTCTATTAAAAAGAAAAACATGTACAAAGGCGTTAACGCAAACACCAAATTAGATTAAGTGATTAATGGGGGGATAAAAAGGAGAGACAGTGGTCAGTGTGTACAGTGATACACTTTACTCCTGCTATGGCAGCTAGGACAAAGATCTTTATTTCTTTCTCTTAGATTCTCACGCCCATGAAGGGAAAGAAAGAAAGGTGTCAAACTCAGCTAGGGTACAGAAAGCCCGGTGACCCTTTATACGGTTAAGGCAAGGACTCTGATGTCATTTTCTGGTCTCTTTCTCAGGTATCCAAGCGATGCAGATAAGCATCTTTTGGCACGACAGACTGGGCTATCGAGAAATCAGGTTCGTCTCCTCTACTCTTAGCTTTCCACAATACAGTAAAAACGTTAAAGATAGAGAGTGAGAGAGAAAGAGACAATTATTTAGCTTGGCTCTGTATTCAATTAATTAGACGCACGGTCCACATCGACAAGACCAAGTAAAAAAGAAAAAAGAAACTCATTGATATAAGAAAAGGGACCAGCAGTAAGTTCAGATGCAACTTACATGATTTTGGGTTTTTCTCCGGTTTCTTCCAATAGCCCACGTGGATATTATTGTGCTTTACCTCCCTTTTCTTTTCCTTTTTTTCCCTCTAGAAAGAAAGCCTTATTTATTTATTTATTTTCCTTGTTTTAATTAACATTGGAATCTTTTACTTCATGACATAATTAATTCTGAAATCAAATGAGCAGAGGTAAGTACAGAAGCAATGAGACATGAAAGTTTGCTGATACCAATCGAGCGCACTCTCCCAGTTACTCCTTTTTCTCTCTCATATCAATTAGCTTCACACAACTACACAATAGGAACCATAAATATGGGAAATAAATGTTTTCTAGCTAGAGATGTTAGTGCCTTCTGTCTTCTCTTCTAATGCCATATTACGTATTCATGCAACTTCATCTGCTAGCTCATTATGTTGTTAGTTCTTTTTTTTGCTAATTATATAACCAATTGATTTAGAATATTACACATAATTAATATATGTTCTATTTTTGCTAATTTTTCCCGTACATATGCATATTCTGCACTAACTGTGTACTTTTTATTTTTCATGATAAACCAAAATCCAAGAGTTTTCTTACGTGCTATACAATTAAGTGAGGGAGAAAAAAATAAAATAGATGATTAATTTCCTGTGCCTTCCATATATGCCTACACCGTGTAATGGTGAGTGACACGGGGGAGGAGTAGACTCATAAGGTCATACAATTAAAGCACCGTCCTTTCTTAGAAGAAACTGCTGATGAATAGTTCCATCAGTTGCAGTATGTAATCTCAAAATCATTTTAAATCTGTCATTTCACTGTCGTTTGTGTCACACCCCACGAGCTCATTTTTAGTACAATAGTAATATGTACCATTGTCATTCATCTTTTTATACCTGTATTTAAAATAATATTTTTCTTTCTTGCATATCATTAATTAGCATTGATGTTTGATTTTTATTGGATGAATATATGAAAAAATGGGAGAAACGAGAGAGTATTGTAGAAATTTCCAACACCCGATAGAAGATACCTCGGTCCCTAACCACAATTTTTCTGTGTCCTTGTTTTCTTCTACTGATAATATCTAGCTCGCAGGGTGCATGTTACATACTATTAATCTAAATCAATCTATCCTATTCTCAAGTGTAAGTGATCGTGCATATTAATTTCTAATTTTCTACTATACAACATTCGTATATGTTATTGTTGACTCACTTATGATGAGATAAATCATTGCTTTGATGTGACAAAGTAGCATTATATTCATCTCTTTCTTTTTTTCTTCTTCATATTATATATATAGTTACATAAAATTTTGTAGGACGGGGATTGATGTGTATACTATACTATAATATAAAATATAAAATTGCATCCGCGTGTATTGAGATGGATGGTTTGAACATGTTTTGTTTCAGGTATCAAACTGGTTCATTAATGCCAGGGTTCGGTTGTGGAAACCCATGGTGGAAGAGATGTACCAACAAGAACTTAAAGAAGCAGAGTGTGCAGAAGAGAGAGAAAGGAACCAAAGCAATAGCAATAGTGCCCACGTAGCACAAACTCCAACCACACCAACAACAGCTACAACATCAACAGCAACAGCGCCACCACCACCAACAACAACAACAAAACCAACAGGCAAAAGATCCGATATCAATGCTACTGAAAGCGACCCTTCACTCGTTGCAATCAATAGACAAGGCTTCTCGGAAAACCAAGCAGCCCATTCTAGCTCCAACACCACCACCACCACCACCACCAACACGGTCGTCAACGCCCCCGCCTCTGAGGTGGCGCCACCCGGGTCTCAGTGCTTCGATTCAGACCTGCCCCTACACAGATCAATAGCCATTGATGACACGTGTCGCCATGGCAGCTTGGTGACAGCAGATTATGGGACCGCATCTGCAAGTGCTGACATTGGATCCACTCTCATTAGATTTGGGACCACCGCCGGTGACGTGTCACTCACCTTAGGGCTACGCCACGCCGGAAACATGCCGGATAAATCTCCTTTCTCTGTTAGGGACTTTGGAGGCATTTAATCTTCCATATAGTACTTTACAGAATAATATATATATATAAATATAGGAAGATGCTTTATTATATTATATCATCAAAAGAAAAACATTTTTTTTTCCCATTTAATATCTCTTTGATATTCCTCCGTTTTTTTATTTGCATTGTGTAAGGACAGGAAAAAAAGGTTACACGATATGAGAAACGTAGTGTTAAGTTAGCTAATAGGTATAGTTACTATGAAATCTATTGTGTAACTGTATAGTAGATTGTTTTCCATGACTTTTACCCCATATGTGTACTTAATCATTTCAGGGATTTAGATTAATTTGATAGGACTTGATGTTGTCACTGGCCAGAATAGTAAGTATTCTTTCTTTCTTTCTTTTAAGATCTCGAAGCAGTGTCAAACCTTCCAATGTCCTTATATAAGTTCTCATATATAAACAAGGCTATGGCCAAAAAAAAAAAAATTGAATTCGACTGCGTCTGTAGACTGTAGTGTGTTATATATAAACAAGGCTATCCCGACCCCCTCCCCACCTAACAAAAAATTAAAAAATGGTTAGAAATAATACTTGATAAAATAATTTTTTCCCTGAAAATTAACTTGTTGTCTAGGAACACAGATTTCAGAAATAAGAAATAATATTTTTTACTTTTTATTCCTAGGGACATTATTTATTAAATACAACATCATATAATATTTTATCAGTAATAAATATTTATTCTTTCTTTGGGTATTGTAAAATACCAACTCAACCCAAAAGTTTAAACTGGTGGGTGAGACTACATTAATGGTGGACAATTCAACCCAAGAACCAATAACATGCCTCTTTACACGAGAGCCCATTGGATTCGAAGAGTGGACAATGCATTAGGTCCAGCGTATCTGTGCTAAAAATTTTCACAAGATATAGTTAATTATTAATAAATGGGAGGCGGTGAGAATCGAACCCGTAACACCGAAACTCTGATATCATGTAAAAAATCAATTCAATCCAAAAACTTAAACTGATGGATCGATGAGGTTATATTAATAATTTTATATATCTCTAACAGGTATATAAAAATAAGTTGTGTTATCAAATATATTATTTTGTCCAAAAACTCTTTCTAAGCATAGAAATAAGTAAATTTATTTCTTTTTAAAAATAGTGTCAAAGAACAGAATCGTTGTCATATACATCCTTAAAATCAAACTTACTTTTATCCCAAACTAGTTGAGGTCGATGGCAAATGAACCCAAATAAAAAGATTGAGCAAAAAAAGATAAAAAAAAGATAAAAACAAATAAATAAATAAAAATATATAAATAACAGTAGAAATTTAAAAATAAAATAAAGTTAAAATAAAGATAATTAGGGAGAAAAATGAATAAGATAAAAAAGAGAAGAAAAAATTAAAGAAATAAGAGAGAAAAAATGAGGTAAAGAAAATATAGGGGAAATAGATTAAAAATGAGGTAAAGAACCATCTTGACGCTTACCAAAAAAAGAAGAAGAACCATCTTGACTATAAGAAAAAAAATGAGTGTAATCCTTCGTGATACTAATAGTTTTCCTCCAATCTATCATAAAACACATGATCCACCAATATAAATATCATTCCATTAAATATTATTTTATTTCTTTCCTCCAAATAAATTTCAGCCGACCTCTTCATATTTTTGTGCCAAGCTCTAAGAGACAAATTTTTTTTTTTTTTTACAAAATTACAACTTCCGATGAAAATAAATCCACCACTAATATAAATAAGCAATCTCTAAACCTTTCAAATGGTGAAAAAACGATTTCTCAAATATATAGAACCAAGCCACGTGTTTCCTCTTTTTTAGCTAGGAGGAATGTAAATTTACTTTTAACTTTCATTTTTTATCTCATAGACGACAAAAACTGAAAAAAGGACTTCCATTTTGTTTGAAAATTTTATGTCCATTATGTTAATTTGCTGCTAAAATTATTATTTGTTTAAATTGTTATGTATCTTGTTTATTTTTGATTCGCCATTATTTTTATACTATTATTAAAACATGTGCTGTTATGTCATAAAATCCTCTTAGATGGTTGTTATCGTAATTAAGCTATTGTAATAATGTAATAACATATGAGTGGATGATAATATGAAAAATATTCATCGGACAATACTCTAAGTAAGGGATAAGAACTAAAGGGAAGGAGGGAGAATTGGCAACGTCCTAAATGAAATGCATACTCTAAAATAGTGGGTGATCCAATAGTTGAGTGGTTGGGGGATAAGCCGTGTCGGACCTAGAAAAATTTGTTTATCTCCGCACATTTAATGGTGGGGGTTTGCCCCCGAAAAATTTTTTGTAAAAAAAATTTAAATCAATGTTTGAACCTGCTCATAATCTAATTTCTTCCATAACAAGCTGCAGGCAATAGTTTAACCAATTATTCCCTCCTTAAATCTTACCAATCCTACAAAACAAATATGAGAATATATTTCAGTATATCCATACATCATCATTCTATTTTATAGTGATGAATAAAAAAGTCAACACTACCTGTACACGAGGCAAGCAAAATCATAGTGAAAGCCTCGTCTCTAGATATTAACTTATTTGAGAATGTAAGACCTGCAATCAATCATCTCTTTTTATAAAAATGAAAAAGGAAACAAAGGATGAAGAGAGCATGAGAATGGGTACGTGACGGGGAAGGAAGAATAAATTTTCTTTGTGATCAATTTGCGTTGCTACGTTGTTTTAATCATCTCCGTACGTTGCTACGTTGCTAAGTAAATAAGAGTAAATATCATTTTTGGTCTCTAACAAAAAATTTGGTCCCCCACTTTAGTTCATTATAAAAAAAAAGTTATCTGGTTCCTATGAAACTCAAAGTGGACCTATTTTGGTCTTTTTGAGGGACTAATGTAGGTCTTTTTTGAATTTATGAGGGACCACGATTTTAACTAAATTGATCCACTTTAAATTTTTTAGGGACCTCGAGACTATTTTTTTTGTAAGAAACTAAAATGGGAACTATGTTTTTTGTTAGGAACTTAAAAGGATATTTACTTCTAATATATATTGAACCAAGAGACAAATAAAGACTTATAATAATAAAAAAAGCTAAAATAAAATTTTTTATGACCTCCGGGCATTTACCCGCAAGTGGGTCCGCCACTGGGTATAAGATGTATATAATTTAGCAAAAAGCACCTTCTAGACAGACAATTAATATGGTTATGAAAAAAAAACCATAAATTTTTATTAGAAAAATCATAAATTAATCCAAAAGAATAAGTCATGATTCACAATGATTTTATAAAAAAAGCTTTGAAAGCGGGCGTCTTTAAAAAAGAAGAAGAAGAAGAAAATATGATCAACCAAATTGTAAATATATATATGCCTCAATTTCCTTAAACTCATTGACTAAGCATATTTGGTTGCTTATGCATAAGGAAAAACCAAATTCCACTACGTACTTGAAAGTTGAAACCGTACTACATTTCCAGATTAGGACGTGTTTGGATAATTTTTGCATACCTACAATTACTTGTCAATTCCGTTTCTGTTATACGTAATTAATGTGGTTAAAACGGATCAACAGCAATTTGTTGAGGTATGTAAAACAAAACCAGACGTTTCTTCCGTAAAAACCAAAAAAAGAACTTGCGAAGCAACAAGAACTTCTCACCTACTATGTTTCTTGCTGTTTGAGAAACACCGCATATTAATTACTAACCGAAAGAGAGCCTTCTCTGTATCCAATTGATTCTTACAAGGTTGTTCTGCTGCAACCATCAAGATTGCTTTTGAGTATTCAACCATATGTGATTTCACACATGAGTTTCGTTTTGAATATAGGTAAAGTTTTGGGATTTACGTTAAGATGCGGAAGAAGTTAGCTAGACAGTACACAAGCCGCTGCCAGTAAAAACACAGATCTGAAGGAGTTGAGTGATTCTCTTTTTCAGGTTTGAACAATATATATATTCACTCTACTTACAGCAATGTCACTATCGTTAATATTTGGCTTCGGAAATTCCTAAATTGAACCTGAAGGTTAATCGGAGTATTTAATGGATCTTCAAGAACAAGAGTAAGGGTTTCTTATCAGGGGACCATAATGTGTTTGTCCTATTTTTTAGGAAATCGCAAGGCTATAGGTATAGGGTTTTTTTTTTTTTTTTATTTATCAAAATTCACAAATATATATATATTAGGTAGGATCCTTTGACACCAGTGTCAAATTTGAAATTTGGCTCCTCATCTGAGAGCCGTCAGATAAAAAAAGATCAATGGTGTCACATGCACATGTTTACAAATCAAAGTCGTTGATCTTTTTTGATCTAATGGCTCTCAGATGAGATGTCAAAGTTCAAATTTGACACCGGTGTCAAAGGATCCTACCTCTATATATATATATATATATATATATATATATATATATATATATATATATATATATATTTGTGAATTTAAAAGTAGTTTTGGTCCAACAATTGATAATTGCATGCAAAGGCTGATTTGAACCACTGAAAGTCCCTTCATTGAGTAGCCAGCTAAAACAGTTATATTGTCACTGGAGTTATAGGAATCGTATTTATTTTTATTTATTTAATGTTTTTGAGTAAAGATTTCGGGGTTATTTAATAATTTAGTTGTAAAGAATTAATGTTGTTGAGTAAAATGTACACATAACGTTATCATTATTCAGTACAACTCCTGTGAACATAGTATTGCTGATTTTAACAATAAGGAAGAAAGACTGTTCATTAACATTAAACATTAAACATTAAACAGCAAGAGAGACAAAAGTATAGGGTCTCTCCACAATACATCCTAGTCGACGATGATGGAGGGAATCCCTACCCCTAAAATTGTAAGTTTGTCTTGTATGGGTTCAACATAACTTGCACATTGAATGGCGAAAGAAGCTGACGAAAAATTGATGCGAGGGCCTTCAATTCCATCATATTTAATGAAGGAGCCCACTGTTGCCATCACCAATGAGCATGTTGCACAGAGGAGATGCTCAGATGACAGCAAATAGGGCTGGGCCCACCATTTGCAAGGTTAAACAACAGGTACCCTTCACCCGTCAGATCCCCGGCCCATTGATGGGTCCCAGAAGAAAATTCTAATCAAGAAATAAAATATTTTTGAAGTTTCTAAAATATCAATGCCTTTTACTTTATATCGAATATTTTTTTAATTCCTTAGTAAAACAGTTATTAGCATATACTTATTATTATAAATTATTATATTGATTGACTATTTGATTCATTAAGAAAAATCAAGATGTGATTTGATAAATTGTATTGGGCCAGGGCCCAACTGTGAGGCACTGAAAAGTTTAGGTAACTAAAATAAATGGAACTGAAGAAAAAGGGGCTTATACAGGTTGATAGGCTATGGTATAGCCCATGTGGTGGTGTTACCAATTGCCAATAGCGATAGGGTGACAGGGTACGGAGGAACTGCTATGTCCTTGACTAACCAGTACCACGTAATCTTTTAATCATTTTTATAAAGCTAATTTGCGTGGTCCATTTTCTGAGCTCACTCCTCACACCTTGACCTATTGCATTATAAATACTAGTTCGTGGTCCATGCTAATCAGAAAAAAAAAAAAAATTATGCTTTTTTTTTTTTAATTGTGTGAGAAAAGCTTAACGAGTTCAGAGTTTTGTTGCTACTCGAGTTATAATTTTTGGCCGTTTTGTATTATTTATTCATTTATTTATTTTTAAATAATTAATTTACAGAATAAAAAATCATTCTTAATCTTTACCATCTCTTTTAATAGAGCTGGAATTTGAACATTAATTTTTGCACTCATGGTTAGATACCATATCAACTATAAATTAAAATCAAAAAAGTATTGCAGAATTTTTTTGGTGAAGTAAATTTTCAAGTATGCATGATCATTGATTAATTCTCCAAAAAAAAAGCGAATGCTAACTGTGGATAAGGTTGGAGCTAGAGGGCCTGCAAATATCTTGGCAGTGTGTATTTACAAAGCACACATTTATCTAGCCATCATCACTCATAGGCCATAGCACTAGCCATTCAGGTCTTTTTTTTTAGATAAAAAAAAATTATGTTTTTCCATATAGGTATTAATGGTATAAAATTATGTTTAATTTGTAGAATTATTTTTTCTTTCTATAGTTTGGTGGTGTTGTGACAGTTATTTATGCAAGATGCATGCAGAGAGAATCAAGATTTAAGTTTGTCTATTTAAGTTTCATAAGGTAATGTTAGTCCTTTCTCTGTGTAACTTTAAAGTTTGAATTTTTCTTCAATCAATTTGGTATCTATTACATTTATTATTTATTATTTTTCCATTCTCATATAAGATTCCTCTAAAATATTAGAACTAAATGTAAAAATTTTGTTTTCACTCTTAAAAACTAAAAAGTAAGATGCCTTAACTAAAGTAGAGGACTGTTTTAATTTCTGAGTGCGTGAAAAATTTCAATGGGCACAAGCAAACAAAGTGAATGATTCACCTAACATTTTTGTTATTATCCCAAAATTCATATTAAACTAAAGCTTTCAAGATGGGGTATCTTTTGGAATTCCGAGGAGATAATCATTTCATTGTCTAAAAGGGGAGTAAAAGCAATTTTCATTTATGCTAGTTAGGGGTGTAAATGGATCGAATTGAACTGATTTTTTTAAATAACTGAACCGATTCGATTCAAAGAACCAAATTTTTTTATCTCAGTTCGATTCAAAAACGGTTCGATTTGATTCAGAACCAGTTCAGGTCGAATCTATTCTAAAAAGAAAATAAAAAAATAAAAAAAAAAGATAAAAAAAAAAGTCACTAAATAAATAAATAAATAAGAAAATAGAGGGAAAAAACAATTCGGTTGTTGAAGTGTTTTTTAAAACCAGTTCGGTTCTTGAACTGGTTCTTAAAACCTACTATTTTAAGTGCAGTGCAGTTTAGTTCAATTCACATTTCAGATCATTTTTTTTTGTTCTTTTGTATACCAATTTGGACTTGAAATAAATGAAAGAAAATGAGGGAAAGTATCTCCCTCTCTCCCCTAGTTTTTTAGGGGACTGAAGACAGATGCATTTGCAAGTAGTGTTGGGTATGGCTCATACTTCGCATGCTGATAAGGGCCCTTGTTGTTGGGTCAGCATAAAGGCAACGGGGGTCTCGGTGTCCCCTGGCCCGTAAAGGCTAGGTACTGTTGTGGACCTCTGATTTATTATAATTTTTCTTTTTCTTAGTAGTTTGGGCTTGGACCCATGAATAACTGTTGTTAGGTTTTTCTAATTCTATTTATATTCTCCTTGTAAACTGAGTGACTTGTAATGAGTGGCGGTGAGGTTGAAGATGTGGTTTGAAAGAGGATGCAGTAAACTCACGGGTTGAAGATGTGGGTTGAACATAATGAGGTTAAAGACGAAGATTCTAAAATTGAGGGTTGAAGTTGAAGCACCAATACTGAGAAGGTCCACAAGGGAAAGAATACCATCTTAGAGGTATACACCTGAAAACTATATTCTCTGTGCTAGTGATAATAGTTGTGCCCTGAATATTACAGGTGATGATCCAATCATTGTAAGACAAGCTAGGAACTAAGAGGATGCCAAACAGTGGGAGGAAGCAACGAAGGATGAGATGAAGTCTCTGATAAAAAATCAAACTTGAAGTTTGGAGAAACTACTTGCAAATCGAAAGGCGATTGATTGCAAATGGGTGTTCAAACAAAAGGTTGGTGCCAATAGGGAGATTGAGCGCTATAAGACTCTGTCAGTTGCAAAAGGATATTCATAGACATAAGGGGTTGATTATGGTGATGTGTTTTCACCTGTGTCAAAATTAAATTCCATAAGGTTGATTTTGTCTGTAGCAGCTGCATATGACCTAGAGGTGGAGCAGCTGGATGTGAAGATGGCTTTCCTTCATGGTGATTTGGAGGAGGTTATTTACATGAAGCAACCAGAGGGTTCATAGTAAGAGGCAAAGAGGAGCTAGTCTGCAAGCTAAATAAATCTCTGTATGGCTTAAAGCAGTCCCCCAGGATGTGGTACATGAAGTTTGACGCTTATATGATGAAGCTTGACTTTGACCATTGTGCTTATGATCATTGAGTTTATGTGAAAAGATTAGAATGTGACTCTGTTATTCTAACTTTGTATGTTGACGACATGTTACTCATTGGAAACAGTTTGAAAATGATCAGTATTGTGAAAGGACTGTTGGCAAAGCAATTTAAAATGAAAGATCTAGACGCTGCAAATGTGATCTTGGGTATGTAGATTAAGAGGGAGCGTGACAAAGGAAGATTATGGTTGAGTTAGTGGAAGTATATAGATGACTGACTGCAAACTTGTGTTGACTCTCATGTCTACTGGTTCTAAGTTATCGGCTGACCAGTGTCCCAAGACTGAAGAAGAAGGAGAAGAGATGACGTCAATTCCTTATGCTAGTGCAGTTGGGAGTCTGATGTATGCCATGATTTGTACTCGGCCTGATATTACTTAAGCAGTGAGAGTATTGAGCAGGTATATGTCCAAGCCAAGAAAGGAGCATTGGACGGCGGTGAAGCGTGTGTTCTGTTATGTTCGTGGTACGTCTGACCTTGGGTTATGCTATGAAGGAGTGAAGCGTTCAAGGGAACAGACATTATTAGAGCTGAGATGCTTTGTGGATGCTGATTGGGGAGGTGACATTGATAGTAAAAGGTCTACAAAATGTTGTTTCATCATTCGACGGAGCTATCAGTTGGATGAGTAAGAGGCAAAGCACTGTTACTTTATCGACTACAGAGATTGAGTACATGACCTTGACACGTGCTATTAAGGAAGCTAATTGGTTGCGAAGATTGTGCAAAGAGCTTGGTTTTGCACAAGAAGAGATAATCGTTGAGTGTGACAGTCAGAGCGCCATTTTCTTGGCTAAGAACCCAGGTTTCCATAATACGACTCAGTAAAGAAGATTCTTTTAAATCCATGTTTCAAGTCCGTAGTTATAGAGATCATCTTCTACACGGCAGTAGTATGTACATCTGCAATTAAGAAAATGACAAGTGGATTAAAAAATATTTTTTTCTTTTCCCGTACGGACAACACAGCTTCTTGCTCCATGTTGATTGGTTAGTCGCATGGAGTGTATTGTGCGACGGTTGCACAATATATATTTCCGTAGTTATAGGGTGTGTCTATAACTATGTATCATGATTATATGTAAGAGATATCAAGTGTTGTATGCTTAGGAATTCTTCTAAAAATGAGTCTGTACTATTCCCTCTCTATAAAATAAAATCTTTCTTAATTATTGAAAAAAGAGTTCTTGATCTCATTTCTTCCGTCTTCCTAAAAGTTTTTAGAGATTTCCGAAAGAAAAATCCTTCTCCAATTTATACTAATTATTTCCCTACATTCGACTCTTACCTCCCTGCCACTAACAAAATTGCCTTCTACTTGTATTTTCTTCTAACTGACTACGCTTCATCATGGAATCTGAATTTCCTTCTAGAATATACCTTTAAAGTGATATAATGGTGTATGAGTAACATTAGTCTTTTTTTTGTTTCCCAAGGTATCCTCCTGCCGACAGCCGAAGACTAATTCTTTCGAGGCGAGAGATCACATTAAGTGGGTAAACCTCTCCCAACAAAGCCTTCTCCATACACACGGCCAGAAATCAAACCCCTGTCAGCATGTTTAAGGAACTCAGCTATCTACCAACTGTGCTGGGCTTTGTTGGTGAGTAATATTAGTCTTTAGTATAAAATATTTTAATTATCTAAAATATAGGTAGGAACAAATTTTAATTTAGCAGGCATCTACATTTGTTATTCATCATGGGAATTAAGTTCGAATGTTTCCATTCGAGTGATGAGTCAAGTTTAGGTTTAGATGTCTGATATATTCAGGCCTTGGTATTATAAAAGATACTATAAATTAAAACGAGCAACCTTTAGCAGCACTCATCTTTCAATGACACAATTTACATGCAAGCTAATTCTACAAATAAGTTATTTAGCAAAGAAAAGGAGCAAAAAAAAAAGTAAAAACATTAAGCATATTTACATTCCCACAACACTACCGAAAGAAATTGAGCCATAGATCCAGAGCAAAAAAATGCAGAAAATCATAACAATTGTCAATCCAGACCAGCTTTAACTACAGAAATGTTTCTTTCCATTTTTGCTGCTCTTTTTCCCGGGTTTCTTTCATCGGTGATGGGTGGGGGTAGGAGAAAAAAAAAGGGAGAGAGAGAGAGAGAGAGAGAAAGATTCCCAAATTATTCCATGAAAACAAGCACTTATGTGGAGAAAAATTAGAGAATAAATCAAGAGCAAGATGAACAATTGTGCACTAAGCTGCAAAAACACACCTACTCTACCAGAGAGATGGAGGCAGAGAATTGACACGACAAAGGATCCAAATCATTTGAATCCTATGAAGTTTAACCAGAGACAGCCAGTAAATTATGGCTGTCTCCTTACAAGTTGGCTGCCTCGGGTGATTGATTTGTTCACGTCAAGAATAACAGAACCCTTCAATGTTGGGCCTCTCCACATTGGAATCTTTTAATGTTGGGCAGATAATTTGTGTCCCAAATTGGGAATCTGAAAAATATTATTGCAACAGCAGACACAGATGTTGAGGTTCTAGTAAAGGCGTCCCCTACACTTCAACGATCCACAAAGACATGGAGATCCTTCTCCAGGCACAAGCTTATATTGATAGTCATATGTCAGCTCTTCACCCAAAGCAATCTGTCAACAAGAAACAAACTGAAATGTAATCCATGTAGTAGAACGAAGCAACTCAAAACAGTTTGTCCACCGTTCTTAATATAACATGCAGGACAATTTATTCTTCTCAAACAAAGGGATGAAAAATGGGTTTGAATGGTGTTCATTATCCAATCCATACATACCAAAATACATCCGTCAACCAGGATATGGAAAGCGAATTTCGTACAAATTACAACATATTTATCTTTATTTTCACTTTATTTTTTGTTTAGTGCTATTTTTTAATTTCTAGTATTATTTATATATTTATAAAAAAAAAATTATTTTTTTACTCAATATTTTTGTACTTTTTATTTGGATTCGTTGTCACCAACCCCAACTAATTTGGAATAAAAGTGTTGTTGGTATTGACTATGTATATTTTCCATTTTGTTAATCTTTCTCTTATTTCCTTTCTTCGACAGGGCATGGCAACAATCTTAATAGAGTTACTCTCCCTTTCCACATCTCTTGTTTCTTTCTTTGGTTCACCTCTTCCCATATCATACCAATCGGATATACCATATAACATATCAAGAAAAAAGTCAGGGTGCAGAAATTACTTACATCTCGACTTGCATAAAGACCAATATGTGCACGCTCACAATCCATGCTCTCTACAAGAACTTGGTGATTAACAAGATTGGGCGAGCAGCTACAATAACAACAAATTGTAAGAGCAAACCGACACACATTTAGGGTGTAAAAATAAAAATCAGAAAGTAAACATTTTCTAGTCACTAAGTTTATGCTTTGGTAGAATCAAACAAAATCACTGCTGCTTGAAAGAAATAATATTAAAATTCTTATCACATTACAGTGCTTAGTTGTTGCCGGGAAAAAGAAAGCAACAAATAGCACCGTGTATTTGTCTTAACAAATAACACCAAGTACCCCTACATTAAATCTATTCAAGTAAGAAGCAGATATGCAGTCATCATGGTAGGTCATTGATAGCAATGTGAATGTCCAGCACATTTCAAACACCTGATATTAAGAGCATTTAACTGCAAAACAATAGCAGGAAGTAGCATGGGTTCATGGATGATGGGAATGGCAAAGGGGCAACATCCCTAGCCAAAAATTAATTCAGGACATAAGATTGCTAGGCAATAATAGCAAGTTTGGTTGTGGGGAATTCCTTGGAAGGCAATCATAAAATATCACGGCATACACTGTTTGATTAATCCGTAGTGTAGCAAAAAACCGACTGAAAAACCATGTTGCAAGCAAATCTATGTCAAATAGTATGTTAAGGAGCTAAATACTCACCTATGATTGATGAACCTTGAAACATTTCCATATTTAGTCGCATCAATTACATATTGGGCCTGTCCTTCAACCAATCTGCTCATATCATTAACACGAGCATCGATGTCATAGAAATAACTGCAATTCTTTGTGCCATATCTGGTATTGACATAGACCAATTCAGTAAAAAGGAAAAAAAAAAAATCAACTAATTTAAAACAAATTACATCTTGAAAAAAGTTAAACCTCGTGCGCCTGTTGTGTGCCTCGTGCAAATCTAAAACCTCTCCAATGTACTCGCACACAAATGTGCCCCGAAGAATTGCTTCACCAGCCCTGACCGCCCATCCCTATAAATCACATAACAAAAGTAACAAAAGTCAATGTAACAACTAACAAGTCTTAAGAAGCATTTGAGTTAATCAAAAGAAGAGTAACCTTTTTCTCTGTTTTAAAGACTTCCAATTTGACTCGTACTCCCTTCTGCAGTATTCTGTTTGGACAGGATTTATTGCATCTGCACATACGATTGCACTCATAGACAAGGTAACCTTCCTGCAGTTTTGTAGGACAATCCCAGCATTGGACAAAATGAAAATTTGTAAATAAATAAAAAAGAAATAGAGAAGGAATAAAAGGTGAATATCATGCCACCGAATTATAAAGGGAAAGGAAAAGCCACGTAATAATGATGTTTGAAAACATCCTAGATAAGTGATTCTCAAAATTGTAGACAAGATACTAGATGATGATATTGACAACAGAGCAAAGTCAGTACATTCAAAGCAGCTACACTATTGACAAAAACACATTTTGAAAAATTTAAATGATTTAAAGACTGAATACGTTTAGAAAACAGAAATATACAAGTCCAGCATGAAGTAATCAGGAAGAGATAATATATTCAGGATTTTAGCAAGTAATGGATATATCATCGCCAAGCAAAGCCTAACAGATCCAAAAATCAAGTCTTAGCTCAGATTTTGGATAGAATGGCTGTTTACAATCAATGAAAATATTTTACCTCCAATATTATTCGACCATTCTCGTCATATGGAAACCTACCCCGCATTGGTTTCCCAAAAATGTCTTTTGCATCATCATAGTCATTACCAAAAAGGTATACATGATCACATGTTTCAGGACAGCATGTTGAATATGAGCAGGCACATCCCAATTGCAGACTCTGTATATAAACAAATAGTTTAAGGAATATTTGAAACCAATTAAAATTATGGTGTATTTAACAAAAATCTTTATAGCTTTAATTTTACAGAATATATATATATATATATATATATATATATATATATATATATACGTGTGTGTGTGTGTGTGTGTGACTTGAAAGTGCAACATTTGTCTGTGCCTGAGCATATAACATTCTGGATCTTTTATAATTAAAAGAATTTTATAAAAACTTAGAAGATATGATCTATTATAGGTTTCTAACATAATGTCTTAGGTAAACCCACAAGTACCTCCAACCTAATGTCTGGAATATAAGTGATGTGACATGCAATTAGTATGCAAGTTTATCCCTCTTTGGTTAAGATTTGATCAAAGAAGTCATAGTGAACTACCTCTGAATCAAGACAAAGGGATTGATCAAGCAATGACTTCGTAACATAGGTAAAGCTCTCCCAAGGCTTAGAAGAGTTTATATCTTGTTCACTGGACCCATGCATATGAAGAGAATGCAGAAGTTCTTGATCTACTACACAAATCACTGGAACTGATTCCTTCCCAAAGCTAATGTCATCACACAAGATTATTGCCTTTTGCACAGAACCTAATTTTAAACTACGTGAATTGATGATACAGTGAAACTCATCAACCTCCCACTCATCACTTGCAGAATCAGATAAATTTACAGATTTTGTCCTTACGTAACCATTAGTAAAAGATGCCAAAGGAGAGAGCAGGACTTGATCCTTCAATATATTACAACCTCTAGGACAAATAAACCCTTCCTGGTGCCAATTCACTACAATATTATGCTCGCTGCAAAGTTTTGCTGCCTTCAAATAGAGCTTTTTAGGAAGAACTCCATATTTCTCCTCCAGTGAGGCCACAAGACTAACTTTGCAGCAAGCAGAACGAGCAATTGATAAAATATCAAGATTATTAGGCCGAGGTTTAGTCTTCTGAATCTCTGAAAACAAAATCTTAGCAACAGCTGAGCATTGATGTTCTGCCAATCTACCGATATCTGTTGTTTCAGTTACATGAGGTTGTATGGTCATTCCCCCCATGCCAAGTGACTTTGTTGACTGAATGCATCGCTTCAAATTAGCATTAGCCCTATTTCTAATCCTGTATGATGCTGTTGCCAAACCTTTTTTAAATCTAGGGCGGCTAAGTCTGCCAGATTTTAATCTATATGCATAATGGCGAACTCCCTTCTTTGCAGGGCGGCCTCTAACTAGATTGGGCCCCATATGAGCAGCTTGGTGATGTCTACCTAGGTCAGGTAGTAAATCAAATTTCAACCCACAAAACCTGCAAACAAACTTCCGTAAACAACTTGGATTCTCAGAGTTATTCTCCAAAGGGGCTGAATTTCCCTGATCATGTTTCACTGGAGAATCTTCACCAGTAGAGAAAGTTGGCTGCTCAAGCACTTTTGATGGCTTAAAATCAACGGGATGAACAGATAAAACATGCTGCCATAATTGCTCAGTATTTCCAAAATGACTCCCACAAGGAATGCATTGAAGAAGCATGCATTGTTCTACAAATTGCACATGGTGTCTCTCTTGAACATGGGTTTCCAACAATTTCTTGTTAGTAAAAGAATCCAGACAAATGGCACATGCACAACCTCTAAACAGCCACTGTGCTTCCTTTTTATGACTGTCCATCCAATGGTTTCCAAGTGCTTGGTCATCAGGAAACTCTGCGGAGCATATCTTACACTTAATGGCATTTTCATTATCACAGATATCATTAATTGTGGATGGCAAGAGAGGTGGTCCTTCCATGACAGAGGATACATCCATGTCATCATTGAATCCCCACATCAATTTAATTCTCGCTTTTTCGCTATGGACCAACTTCGTAAAATATTCTCCTACACTAGTATCTTTAGAGGCTTCAGCCAAAGCCCACTGGAATTGGACATCCTTAGGAACAGGGTTTCTTAGTGATAAAATGCTTTTAAATAGTCTGTAAAAAAGCTCACATGCCTTATGCAGATGTACCTTTTGCTCCCATGAGCTGCAGTCCTTCAAAAGTTCTGTGAACCCTTCTTTCGATACTATTCTACTCTTCCCATTTCTTGCACGTTTAAGCCAGCTTGGAAGGTGCCTTTCACAGTACAAGCAATACCGTTTAGGAGCTTCCCTACAAGGATTCTTGTTATCATAGGGAGGAGAACCTATACAGCGCAGTGCCTCCATGGCATTATGATCATTTTCAGAATGCATGGGCTTCTCGTTCAAGTTGCTTTTTCCATGTAAGGAATCACCATCAATGGATGACATTGGATCCACTTGCAGTGGGCTTTCAACATCTACCAATACCATGTCTTTGCAGAATGTGTCCTCTGAACCAGTACAATTTTCTTCATGTTTCCTCTTTAGTGTATTCGGGGGTAAATTTGAGATCTGTTCTGCTTCAGCATGGGGCCGGTGTTTCTTACAGAAGGAAGAGCCAGGTAGGGACCGATGCTTACATCTAGTACCCAGAACAGTTGTACCTTCACACATAGGAGTATCAACTGGTACAGGCTTTTCACCTTTTGTTGAGCTGCCCAAAAAACGGGAGGACAAATGCACACAACAGTATACATCACCATCATTTGCCCATCTCACACACTGTCTTCCCTTAGCTTCAATATAAGCTATACATTGTCTATTCTTACAACCAGGTTCTACCGATTTTGCAACATCCATTTCATTCATAGGTGTTGATTCCATTACTTTAGCATGCAAGAAATCAGAATCGGCAGCCTCAACTACAATTTCATTCCATTTATTGGCAAAATTACTAGGCGAATCCATTTCTATAGATACCTCCCTAACATCTTCCTGTTTACAAGTCTCAGCTGCTAATGTGCTCAATGTGTCCTGATTCTTAAAGAAGCCAGGGTCTGTCTCAAGAGCAATAGAGTGATCTGAACCCTTGATTTCCACTTGTGAAGCATGTGTATCTGCACGACGAACTTCAAGTTTGGGCCTTTTTCTACAAACCTGAAGGTTTGCTTGGTACGAATCATCACAAGTCTGTCGCTGTGTGTCTTTGCTGCCACATAATAAAGGTGATGTTGAAAACCATTTCATTACATCATGCTTCCAGGTTTTCCAATCAGAACCTAATGTTGGTTGTGCTGGTGCATCCCAGAGAGTGTTGACATCATTCCACAAAATAGAATCAAACAATTCCTGAACAAGAGGATAACAAATATAGTCAACCCAACATATTGAGCTAAAAGTTTGTGATCATTGTTTAAAACAAGGCATGAGCATTCATTGTTGCATGTGTTTGAAATTTGACATATGATTTCAATCTAAGCACTTTAAAAGAAGCACCACATTAGCCATGTCCTCTATTATTGTTACAAAGCACTAAATGTAAACGCGATTACATCAGCTAAGTACAGTATTTCTGGAAAATATTAACAAACTAATATCCCCAAATGGCAGAACATAGTCCCAGTAAATCAAACAAGGAAACTAAGTATATAGATTTTAATTTTTACTGATACTAACCCGATAACCATCTAGACTACACATTTTTCATCAGAGGAATTATGATGAGTCTTTATCTTCTCTAAATACTTTAGGAGTACAATAGTGATAGGGCTCAATCAAGAGAGGAAAGGAAAAAAGCATAAACCTCACAGCTTTTGTAGCGCTTTATGATTATTTGAGTGGTTTTAATAATAAAGCTTTTGAAACATGCATAAGCTGTGAGGAGGTCAAACGATTTAAACTAGGTCAAAGTAAGACCAATACATGGAGTGAGTTTGCCATGACAAGAAGAGGAATTCAAGAACTCATGAATATGCTAGGACAAGAAGTACCCATAAAAGATGCATTTATGTAGCTGGGATCAATCTTGCAAGATGTGGAGAGGGGGGAGAGATTGATGGGGATGTAAGATATAGAATCAAAACAGGTTGGATGAAATAGGACAGCGCATCGGGATATTTATGAGATCGTAAAATCCCTCTTGGGCTAAAAGAAAAATTATATATAACTGCAGTCAGGCCTGCAATTCTATATGGAGTTTAATTTTGGCCAACAAGAATAAAGAAAGGATATTAAGATGAGCATAAAATGAGAGTAGCATAAATGAGCATGTTATGATGGATATGTGCTCATACAATAATGGATAAGATAAGAAATGAAGATGTTCGACGAAAAGTTGAGGTATTATAGGTGGAAGAAATGATAAGAAAGCATAGATTTAGATGGTTTAAGCATATCCTTTGGAGACCCTTAGATGATCCAACAAGAAAAAAGGTTTTTTATGAGTATTAAAACAAGACTAAATGAAATGAGATATAGATTGCCATGTGGTTTGTCTTAGGATAAAGTGGAGTAAAGCTACTAGCATTGAGGAGGAGTAGAATTTTTCTATTTTCATTTATTTTTTAGTGTGTGTGTATATATATATGAGAAAAACATTTCTCTGGCAACTTGAGATAATTTTATCTCCAGCCACCCCAAAACGACGTCGTTTTGTTTATTTATTTTCTTATATTAATAGATTCACCTTTTAAAGTTTTAATGGTTATGATTCCCTTTTTCTCTCTCTTCCTTCATTACCATTGATCTATCCTTATACGGTTATGATTTATTAGCCGGACGGCAGCTTGAGAAACGATAAGCTCTATATATATATATATATATAGGGATTATGTTTCTCATGTTGAAGGAGATAAAATTATCTCCTACACACAAAAAAGTATGTAGGACCCATGTTTTCTTTTTCTCTTCACATGGGTCCTACAAACTTTTATGTGTGTATAGGAGATAAAATTTATCTTCTACAACATGAGAAACATTAAACATATATATGTATATACAAGATCAACTTCCATCGGTGTAAAAATAATAAGTTTTACATTCAATCTTAGTTGTTGATTTCCGTGCATCATATGGTTATAATTTATTGGATTACACTCATTAATTAATTAATTAACTATCAATCCATAATAAATTATGATTGTCAAGATATATGAAAATCAATGGTTAAGATTTGGTGTAAAATTTATAATTCTTACACTGATATAAAAAGATCCTGCCCTACATTACATACATATATTATATATATATATATATATATATATTACTTTTCCTGTTTATTATTTATTTTTTCCTTAATTTGTTCTTACTTTTATATAAGTTCACTAAGTGTCGACCACAACCAATTTAAGATACCTGTGATGTTGATATGGAAGTAATGCTTTCTCTCATTTCATTTAGTGGAAATATGAAGAGACGACCATAAAGTTGAAAAAAGAAACATTATGGATGACCTTTCCCAATAATAAGAAAAGAAACATTATGTATGACTCATTTAATTCATTTTGGTTTACAAGGGCAGCTACACAAGGATGAAATTGTCATCCCTCCAATTATCCAATAATCTTCTAATGAATATTGTGAAATTTCACAGTACGGGTAAGTGGGTTTGTCCATTGTTCACCCTTCAAGCCCAATGGATTCTTATGTGATAGGGGCGTGGTAGAAATATAATATAATATATAAAATAATTCATCCGCCTTCACCTAACGGCTTAAACTTTTAGGAAAATTAGATGCTTGACACTTCATGAGCAAATATAGGTTAGATGTAACAATGATAATGTAACGTGAATACATAGTCCTTTTTCTGGATACATGAATTGGTAGCTAAAATTATAAGGTACCTCCTTCAGCAGCTCTACTGATTCGGCACTATTTGCACTCTCACATCGTTCAACCCAAGAGTGAGAAGAATGCTGTAACCAGTCAGCATTTAAGTATCGCTGCAGTATGCTCTGTAAGGAAAAAAGGTGGTATACTGCTTAAGTCACCAAAGGAGAAAGTTATCAAGAAAAATTCATGGAAAACAATAATAATTGTATTTATTTAAAGAAAATTAATAATAGTAGGACTTAATCAATTTTATAACTATAATATAGCTCAGTAACATAAATTGCACAGATCATGCAAAGCATGTACTATAGGTATCAGCATCAATTTCGCATAAGTTAGCCCAGTCAAGTCTATTAATGATAAACTTGATGAATTATCAAGTATAGGAAAAATGTGCTAAGCCAAGGAGGTGATGTGAAATCTGAAAAAGGAAAAAAGAATGGATAATGTGCTTTATTGAAGAGATACAATGCCAAGCTCTCTCTCTCTCTCTTTCGCGCTAAAATAAGAAAAGGCCAAGCATATCTAAAAGAAGAATTTATAAAGGCAACTGGAATTTACATTATGCAGCTTTAGAAGCATTCTTCCAAAATCAGAATAACCATTACAACGAGAAGCCTCCATAGCGAATCCCATCCAAACCTTCACATCACGGGCAGTTTCTGTCAAAGCCTACATGTATTTCAGAAATCTCCAGTTAAAAAATAAAAAATAAGTAAATAAATATATATTATATATATTTTTAGACTACAAGAATAAAGAGTGGAGAAAATAAACTAACATCACCAACACATACATTAAAATGAAACTGATCGATGATGTCCAGCATGCCAACAGCCAGCTTTTGCATTATAAACCGCCGTGCAACATTTAAGTCTTTTACCATTTCCAATCCTACCTGATGAGTCTCATATGCAATAGGATGGGGAAACTCATTGATTGATCTAACAAGCAGCATATCCGCCCAAGAATAATTCTTTGTGTGTGGAAAAAATATGACAAAATATTTTTTTCGGTCATGAGTTGGTTTTGCTTTCAAAGTTGATAACGGCCAGTCAGCCCTTGAACATCGGATGCCAACCTGCCACTTCCCTCTCCACTAAAAAAGACAGGGAAGTCACAAAGAACAGAAAATTAGCAAAGCTTGCATTTTGATTTTAGAAATTCATGGATAATTTTAGAAAATTAACAGAGTGAGAACCTTCTAAGTTGCTCAATTAAATATGAAAGAGGAGGTTTCTCACAAAAGAAAACACGATCTTAGAAATTCATGGATGATTTCTCATGATCAGGCAATCCAGATCAAATAGAGAAGTAAATTCAGAGATTTTTTAATATATAGGAAACATTAAAAAAGCTAGGGAAGAGTTATGAGCAATCAATAATCTCATTGAGAATAGCAAACATTCATCAGAAAAAACCCTCCACAGAAAGTAAACCACTAAATTTTGATAACACAATACATATGGTTACCTTGACCCACAGTGCCACAGATTCATCCCCCTCTAGCCACGTGGGTTCAGAAAAAGACAAGTCTCCTTCCCTACTGTTGTTTGGTGATTCACTTTCAATCGTATCCACATTATCTTCAAAATCATGGAAATCACAGTATTCCTTTTGGTCTTCCACTCCACAGTCACAACATGAAGCTCCAATGCATTGGCAATCTGAATTAGTCGACAAATCACAAACAGTATGGTTCCCTTCACCTTGCCTTTGTATCTTAAGTGATGATTCATTCATTTGACCATCTGACAATTTAACTTGTTCACCATTTTCTGGGCAATTCAGTTCTCCCTGGTATACAAAAGCAGTTCCTGAACTCTGCTGAGGGCAATCAGATTCCCCAGCATATTGAACACCAGAACAAGGTAGTACTTCCATGATACTATTCTAAAATAGACAATCTTATATGATACACATGCTATGACTGATGACTCCTTATCCTACTGCTCTGTTCAAGCAAATGTCATTGCATGAAAAAGTCAGGTAATGAAGTTTTAGAAACGGTAATTTAAAAAATATATATATTAAAAAAAAAACTGAAAATAAAAGAGAAGATATATTGAAACTAAATGGCATAAGCATGTCAAATTCAAAAATGCTATAGAATTTAAATAAATAAATAAACAGGGTAGCTATCAAATTCCCCTCCCACCATTGTGGGATCTGGGAAGGTCAAATGTACATGACCTTACCCCATGAGGGGAGAGGCCCTTTCTATAGCTAGAACCCAGTGGCCACAAGACAGTAACCTTAACATTTCCTCAAGACTCACCCTCAAACATTAAAAATATTAGAGAAAATTTATATAATATTCAGAAAATATGGTGTAGAACTTGTAACCAAATATGTCCTGTGACATTAAGAAAACTAAACTAAAACTCATCTAGATTAGTCCAGAATTCCAAGGAAAAAGAAACTAGTAGGCAACAGTAAGAGCTTACGAAATTTTATTTCAGGATTTTGGTGCTTTCCAAAAAAAATTGATGGAATATAAACCTGATAAGGCCAGAAACAAGAATTACCATATTCAAGTTCCCTTCTTAAATTACTAACTTCATGAATTGGCAGCAGCAAAGCAATGAATCTTTGTCAATATAACCATTTCAAGGAAAAAGTCGATTGCGGCCAAGAATGCAAGTGCATATATATATATATAGGGTGTTATTAATCTCATGTTAAAGAAGATAAGTTATGTCATGTCATAGAGACAATTATATGAGCCCACCACCTGAAAAAATAAAGAAAAAGAAAAAGACTACACAGTTATCGAAGGGTGTGTAGGAGAGAAAACTAAGCTCATATAACATGAGAATAGTTTTTTCCATATATATATATATATATATATATATATATATATATATTAGAATCGTAATTATATAAGTCTGGAGGTTAATTCCTGATGTTGATGCCTATTCAGGAACACATAAATCGAAATGCCTTATTTCTCTATGATAGTTGACCATGATGAAGTAGCAAGGTTATTTGAACTTTAATAGAAAAATAAAGCATTTCAATTAATATGTTCCTGAATAGACATCAACAACAGAAATTAACCACTAGACATATCTGTCAGTAGAAATTAATAACTAGGGATCTAATATAATTCTAAACTATTCTCAGACACAGAGCAACAGCATGACTAAATAAATACTCTGCCACACATGACACTGTGAATGGTGACAGAGTTAAACCCCGAAAAGAAACATCTCATACTTATATTATTTAGTAATTGGAAACAATTAATTTTAAAAAACTTGTTGATGTTAAAATACTAAGCAAAATCACTTTAAAAAATGAACGTAAGAAATGCATCTCAGTTTGTCAATGATTTAATCCAATTCCATTCCATGCTAGATTACTTCAATTTCTTGTTGGAGCTTCATATAACTAGTAGTAACTAGTAAGTACAATGAAACTATTTCTTCATCGATTTCAATACTTGCTTATGGATTTTTTTTAATGACTGCACGAGACAATAGAATTAATGAGTTCATAAAATAAAATTGAACAAATTCATATCTGTTAAAATAAATAAAAAACAGAATCATATGCAATATAGTAGAAAAATTAAGTTTCACCATCATACAATAATTTTACTGCATACAATTATAAAGACAATAATCTATGTATCAATGACATGAATGCACTCTTGAGGCTCTACTATCACCCCCGCCCCTTCTTCCTTCTCTTTTTTTTTTTTTTGGAGGGGGGTTCTTAAGGCGCAAGCAGGTGGGGGAATTTGGCAATTTATCTTCAGAGTTGGCATATCTAACTCCTGCTTCAATCAGTTTAATGTGAACTAACTGAAAAATCCATATTTTCTTGATTAAAGCCCCAATGAGAGAAATCATTTAATGAATAAAAAGTTTTAATAATTAAGTAATTTTTCATAAATTTCGAAAAGACAATAACTCACATCTAACTTCAGCATGGATTATTTTAATGGAAATTTGAATTAATACACGCACTGCCAAATATACAACATGATCGCAAATAAATACGTTGAATTCAGGTAGCTGATTCTTGCAACCAAGGGTGAAAAAATTTTATGCAACATTAGCATAAGAAAGATTAATATTTCCATTTCACGGGTTTAGTAAATAATTAGCCTTAAAGCCCAAAATCCAATATCTTTTCCGAAAAATTCGTGCCAAAATAAGATCCTCCAAAACAAATCCAAGCAAAGAGAAACGGTAAAGATAGTGATTTTCTGTTGGCAATTGTGAAAATTAAAAAGAGACCTAGCAATTGGCAATTGCATCATATGTATCTGATAACTGTCACAGTTAGGGTATGAATCATATGATCTCAGTCCCCAGCAGATGTAAATCCGCAACAACAATAAGCTCGTCAGACAAAGCTTTAAAGTTCTCAGCTTTCAGAAGCACAGGCACATCCCGATTAGAGATTAGATCTTTATCAATTACATTTACCCCCAAAACCCTTAATGACGAAGACCCAATAGCAAAAATGGTCTAAATCCCTGCATTATTGTAGGTTAGCCAGTAACACGATGATAAACCCTAAGCAAATCCACAGTATATATAACATAAGGAACATGTAACTGCATGTCTCAAATATGGAAAGAAAAAAAAAAAATAAGAGGTTGCAGAATCATAAAAGTAAAATCGGGCATCAATTATAACCTCGACACTTAATAGATGTCCTCCTTAAAACGTTGAACGAAAAGGGGTAAGATCTTCCCTCCTGCCATTACTAGTACGTCTTTTTCTGTTACCTATAGAAATTTTTTTTTATTTTTTTTTGGTATATTATTATAAAGTACACACAACATATATATATCTAAGGGGTGAGCAAGGTCAGACACCATAACCAAATTGACTGCAAAAAAATATGTGACATAAAATATAATAGACATTGGCTAAGCCAAAATTCAGAGAATAAATAAGGAACTAGGAAAAGAGGGTAGTGGTAATGTACCTTAAATTAGGACTGGGGGAAGTTTATGCACGAAGATCAGTATTTTGCAGGGTCTATTAGAGGGTGTGGTGGTGGGTAGGTGGGTGAAATTGGTTTTTTATGTGAAAAAAATGTTGTGCCTCCCTTTCTCTAATGGATGCCTCACTCGCTGCGGGTATTGGTATAATGATAGATAGATAGATAGATAGAAGAAAGATATTGGTAATTATATATACCCAAGTGCGGCTCTAGGTTTTAGGCATTGAAGAAAAGAGGGGGATCGTGGTCAGTTCCCGTGCCCAAATTAAATGACAAATAAAAAGGATTTTTTATTTTATTTTATTTTTTTTAGGGGGTTTCGATTTGGGTTAAATAAAAAAGGTAAGGGAAAGTAGAGAGTTGATTGATTCAGGTGAGGGGTAGAATTAGACTTATACTTGAAAGATGGGTCCTAGAAATAAAGGGTGGGTTATGAGTTTGAGACCTTGTGAGGGGTAGGGTTTTTTAGCGTTTTGCAGCCAACACTCAGCAGCGACTGCGTTTCCATATTAGACATTAGTGTTTGGTCACGTCCCTTTCGTTTCATAACCTAATTTTTATTTTAGTAAAATCTAAGGAAATATTTATTTTCTTATTTTGAATAGATTATGGGCTTTATTAATCTCCATCAATAGGAGAGAAGTATCTCCTACCACTCTCACAATCATGTGGTGGGACCCGCATAGTTATAAAATAAAAAAATAAAAAATAAAAAAGCTCAAGGATCGATGTCTCTGTAAGAAAATAAACCTATCTCCTATGGCATAAGACTAGTTTTTTCCATAGATTATATACTATATTATGACAGCAATAAATGGATGCGTTTGAATTCTTAAGGAAACTGATAAAATAAGGATAAGGAAAATAATAAATTTGGATGGGTAAGGGTAAGGGGGTAGGGGTAGGGGTAAGGTTTGGCATCGTGGACATCGAGATGCGGAGGAAGCAGTAATTTATGAATTTTCGGTTACTGGGAAAAGTCACGCCGAAACAAGACACTTTGTTTGTAACGAATGCATGGGCCCATGGCAAACCAAACGATGTCGTGTTGATGATCAGCCTTTGGACTCAGTCATGTGCTAGTGGACCCCTCGCACATCATTTTACACATTTTTATCTATCTTTTACGGGCTTTTTTACCCTTATAACCCTTTATTATTAATTAATTACCGATTTGACCTTGATTATAAACTATTTCAAAAATTTAACCCCCTCAAAAAACATAACACCAATCTGCCCCTGTTTGACCGTTGACCACCAAGCCTACCCGGGTACACCCCTCTGTACCCGGGTATTTTTTGAAAATTTTTGTCTACCCGGGTAGGGAGGCGTGTACCCGGGTATTGTTCTTCGCACCTGAGAAATTGCTTGAATTATTTACCCGGGTAGAGAGGGGTGTACCCGGGTAAATCTTCAACCACCCGGTATGATTACTCTTTGGATCTCCCATGCACTCTTCTTCTCCAAGCTTTGAATATGGAGGCACCGACTATCACGTGCTCTGCCTCTGCAACTTTTTTGGGTCTGTAAAGCACACAAATATTTTTCAATGATTATTTCAGAAAGAGAATTCTCAGTTAACAGTATAAATCCACAACCACAAACCTTGTCCCATGCATGTCTTCCCTGAACGTGATAATTCGTCATTTACCAGTAAAATGAAAAGCTGCATGCTCACACTAAATTTCTGTACCATGAACCCTGTCTTTATTTTCTTTCCGTCTCACTTTCCCCAATAGACCCGGCACCACATTTATATATAGGAGCGCGATTTTGACGTACATAAAAGTAGACCCCATCATAATCGATACGAACAGGGACCGCTTTGATGAGCAGTAAAGTGTTGATGTATGGAAATTCCAAATCCATTCTCAAAGCTAAAAGCTCTTCAAATTGGTTAGGCATGCTTAACTTGATAATACTGATCTATCTCATTAGCTGTAAAAAAGAGAGAAAAAATACCAAATGGGTGGTCGAAGATTTACCCGGGTACACCCCTCTCTACCCGGGTAAATAATTCAAGCAATTTTTCAGGTACGAAGAACAATACCCGGGTACACGCCTCCCTACCCGGGTAGACAAAAATTTTCAAAAAATACCCGGATACAGAGGGGTGTACCCGGGTAGGCTTGGTGGTCAACGGTCAAACAGGGGCAGATTGGTGTTATGTTTTCTGAGGGGGTTAAATTTTTGAAATAGTTTATAATCAAGGTCAAATCGGTAATTAATTAATAATAAAGGGTTATAAGGGTCAAAAAGTCATCTTTTACGTTATTAAGTTCTATGTTACTATAGTTCAATAACATTTTTAAAAAAGGTATCAACTATCAATTTAAAAATGCGTTCTTCTTCTATCTATTGAGATTTTGATTATATAATTTGATAAACTTGTGCGCTCATCAACTTCTCAAAAATCTGAGTAAACCATACACAAAATAAAACTAAAAATTGTTTTGTCTTGTAAAAGATGACACTACAAAGAAATTTTTTAATCACGTTTGTTCATTTGACAACATTTAACTGAAATCGGCTTTTAATTTAATATATTTAGAGTTAAATTTTACTGTTTATGTACCCCAAGACTTATATTATTTGAGGCACACTTCAATAAAATCCTAAGGGTCGGTACTCGGTGCTAAGGTAAAAAAATAATCTCTTTTCTACTAAAAAAAATAAAAATAAAAACAAAGCTCTTCAACGAACTTTGCTAAAGTTAAATGAACAAGTTTATTTGAAAAAACTGGGTATATAAAATATTCATTTCACTTGAGGTAATATTTGGAAGAAGTGTGTAGAATGAAAAATGTAAAAAGAGATGAACACCTATTAGTTAACAAAAATTTCTAAACATATATAGGGGTTGTATGTGTATTTTTTATTTTTTTGGATAAACATTGGGGTTGTATAACAGAAACGTGAATGGAGAAATTCATTTCTTGATAATGAAAGAATACACGAGTCCTCAAGTTTATAATGAGATTTAACGAATACATTTTGAGCTTAAAGAAAGAAAACAGAAAGACGAAATGGTTATAACCATGCAAACTAAATAACAAATTTCAATGTACCAAAAAATAAAAATAACAAACTTCAAACTATCTAACTGCAAGTAGTTACATCCATCAGTTGTTGTTGGTGGCATGTGCATAAACCATTGAAGCTGCATGGGATGAAACTCGAGACTCGTCATGAAGTGAAGCTTGAGACTTGAGTTGAGACTTAGATGGGCTGGGCTCCTTTGGGCCCATAACTTCTGAGCCTGGTAATATTGTATGTTGATTTGTTCTTAGCACCGAGGAATTTTCAGTTTGAAGTTAAAAATTGAATTGGATCGAACAATAAATCGATTATATTATCGGTTTCAACATTATTTGATTTCATTATAAATTAAATAAATTGAGCCAACCCCTAAAGTTCTCATCTATTAAACAAATTAAACCTTTGATTCGATTTTTAAAATATTAGTTTGAAGAACCTTTACTAAATGCTGGTCAAAAGAAAGCAAACTGACTCTTTAAGCGAAACTCGTGAGTTGCAAATGTGGAGACATTCAACGAGTCAAATGGAGATTTTAAAATACGGTCAACTTAGAGAAAATTTGACAATCGGTTGATTTAAGACAAGTTAATTGACATTTTGTCAGCACTTACAGATTGCCAGAGTTGCAAGCTCAAGAGCATTTGACAAGAGTGGATCCAAATACAATTATCGATTAAAATTCAACAGACCGAAACAGTGTCTATATGTTTATGGTACACGATTGTAGACATTTGTTCTAGATGTCAAATTATTAGATAAAGACAAGTGTCAAAATATTTTTTTCTTTGGTGAATAAGTGCCAAAATGTTAATATGTAGGTTTATTATAAATAAGCCTTGAAACAAATATATAATGATGGTTGATTGGAAATACTTGTATAGGATCCTACTCGTCATTCTAACATACAAGGATAACAGGATCATTCAAGCATGTCATCTTTCCCTCTCACTTACATTTATCTTTAAGTTTCAATGCAATGATATTCATTATTCTCTTCCTCTCAATTGGTCACATTAGTTTGTTTATTTAACTTTCTTTGCGTTTCTGCACTTTATATTCAAACAACTTCTGCTTATTTTATTTTTGGGAAATAGAAGTATAATGTTATAAGAAAGTGTTTAGGTTATGTTATAGAGATAGAGATTGTGGGACCCATATTTTTTTATTTTTTTGGTTTTGATAACAAGTGTGGGTCCCACAATTTCTATCTGCATAACATAACTTAAACACTTTTCTACAACATTATATTTCTTTTTCCCTTTTATTTTTTTTGGAGAATAACAACTTCTGGCTATTAATTACAACTTCAATTACTGTCATTTACATTTCTTGCAATCTATAATTTGTACATTTTATTTTCAGTTTGTCAAATAATTTTGTGCTTTTCCCTGTCAAATAAATATGTGCTTTTGAAGTGTTCTGCTTTTCATTCTCTTCACGTTTACGTAGCTTTACTTTTATTCAATTATTTAAGTTTCGTCGTGTTTAATTATGTCCTTCAAATTTATTTTCATGCAACTTACATTTGAATGTCAGTTTACATTATATTTGTTTACATTTGGCAGTTATTTACTTTCCCTGCAAACGCACATTATGCCATTTAGACTTTACCATTTATATTTCAGTATTTACATCTGAGATATTTAACTATTTCTCGTCATTTTTCAGGCAAATCAGAATTTACATTTGACATTTATCATTTGTAGGCTTTACATATTTGTCAATAGAGAAAGTTATACTTACAATTTATTTTTGTT